CACCTGGATCTCAAAGACTATAAGCTAGAGACACCAAATTTTGCACAAAGATGCCTTATGTGTGTACGCTGTGCAAGTTTGTTTTATTTTTTTTATTTCCCCCCCCCCCCCACTTCCCCCTATGGGCGTTTTCCCGATTTCCATTCGTATTATCGCCTATATCTCTATATCCCTCTCTCCCGCAAATCGTAACTCCTGTAATTCTTGGAATTTCGAACTCAAACTTGGCAAATACCTCCATTTAGTTATTATAAGTCCAAATGCCAAGTTTCATCATGATAAGCCGTTATAGTCATATGTCTACATAAGACCAAGTAGTGCCCGCAGCTGTTGTTGTTGTTATTGCTTTGCTCAAGCACACGAGACATACACAGACACACACAAACACACACATACACGCATAATTACTCTACACATGTGTAAAGAGTATTTCAAAGTCGGGATACCTGACTTTAGCTTCTCCCTTTGTTTTGATAGACTTTGTCAATGCCATGGACTCATACTTGATAATATATACTATACTGATCAAGCAAAGCTTCGCTTTTAAATGAATGTTTATGAGAAGACATACTTTCTACAAATATATTTACAGTTTTTGTATTACTTCCCAAACAAGTTCGAAATTAACTAACTAGAACAAACTCGGGTAATTTGATGAACGTTGTTGGGGCTCCTACTTATTATGAGCAGATTTACTTTTTGCATATGGTTGTGTTGCTGGCGTATGTGCACTTAGTTGCAACTTTAACATTTGATCCCCCTAACTTTGTTGCGACTACACGAACTTTAAACAACGAGGCGTTATAGGGGAGAACAGTTTTCTACTTTGTCGGTTGATGGAAAACAAGAACGTAAACGAATGGTGATAGTTTTTGAAACGTGTGGCAGAGCCAGCAGTTTTACTCACAGAAATAATCAACAAAATAAGCAAATAAAAGGCAGATGCAGTGCAAACTGCAACAACAGCAACATCGGCGGCAACAATTTGAAAAACACGAAGATAATGCAACGGTTTTCTCGTATATGCTATTGTGGCTGCTGTGGAAAATTCGCTGAACGTTGCGCGAATTTGCACAACTAAGTAAGCAAGGCAAATGCAATTGCCGTTCGCTGTTTTTTCAATTTTCCGCGTGCGTCGAAAATATCAAAAACCTCTTGATGACAGCGACAACAACGATGGCAATCGTTGCAACGGTGGCAGCAACGGCGGCTGTGGCGTCTGCAACCGCAAATGCTGCAACGTAATTCGCCGAGTAAATTGATTTGCGTTGCACAAATTTACACCAAATGTTTTTCATTGTTTTTGCTAAATGGATGGGTGCGATGGATGTTGGGTTCGGTTGTTGGCAGTTGGCTTGTCTGCTTTAGTTAGCTCATTAGTTAGTTGAATTGGCGGTTTTGTGGTCTACGCTCAAGTGCGTTCTAAAGCATGACGCATGTTAATCAACAAGCATCACAATGATGCGAATTGGAAAGTTATAGACTACTGGCTCGTTTGGGGTTGATAAATTAAATGTGCAGTTGACATATTTGGTGGAAACATACTTGACCACTTATTGTTTCATATTATGAATAACAAGCACGTATTGTGCTTAACTTCGAGTTAATTCAATTGAAAAAATTGTTAAAAATTAATTTAAATGTTTGCATTAATTAATTAATTAAAGTAAATTAATTAAGTTAATTAATTTAATTAACTAAATTAAATATAAAATATTCCATGCATGCATACATACATTTACATTTACATCAGAATCGTGCCCTATGCGTGTACTTGTACATATGTATGTATGTGTGCAGAAAAAATAAACAAACTCGATCTGCCTAGGGCTTATAGGAACCTTGATACCAATTTTGGTTATCCTAGCTATTGTACTTACTGAGATCCTTGCGCTCATACAGACAGACGGACAGACAGACGGACATGGCTATATCGACTCGTCTTGTCATCCTGATCAAAAATATATATACTTTGTGGGGGGCAACAGCCCCTCCCTGCACACCCCCCTGCCTACACCCTTGCCAAATGTACTAAACAAAAAAAATTACTTTTAAAAATGTTAAATAATTTTTAATTAATTAACATTTCTTGCTCTGTCAGTGCAAGACGAATGAACATACATACATACATAGATGTGAACATGTACATAGATGTGTACATATGTATGTATGTATGTACATTCACACATTAGTGTCTCACATTTTGCTTTGGCTATTTCAATCGTTTGCACGCAACTACACGAACAGCTGCTTGTATGTGTGTGTGTGTGTATGTATACTTAGTTGTCCCCAACTGTTTCACATTTTGTATTGTTTGTTCTGCCTGCATTTGTAAAATGCATTTTTGGAAAATCCTTGAACGCAAAGTTGTAGATTTAGTTACGTAGATTACAGTCCCCAAATTTGAAATCGATCGGAAAAAATGTATAAACCAAAATTTTCATATGAAAAGGTGAATAAATATTAAAACTTCAATAATTCAAGCTCCAAGATTATAAAAATCAAATTTAAAGTTGATCGGTGCAGAAATGCAGAATTTACAAACAAACTTTGGAGCCCCTTTGGAGCTTGAATTTTCCAAAATCCCTTCTTAGTGGGCACCTTCACTATAATAGAATCCTTGAGCCCAAATTTCAGCTTCATAGCTCTTGCCGTTTGGGCTGTGGGCTGTTGACGCGGTTTTCTTTTGTGCCACATTTTTTTTACAGGAAAACTCCCATATTTCAATCTCCTAAGCCTGTTTTCCACCCTTTGGAGCTCGAATTTTCCAAAATCTTAGTGGCCACCTACACCATGAAAGGATACTTGAGTCCAAATTTCAGCTTCCTAGCTTTTACCGTTTGGGCTGTACGTTGATCACCAATCAGTCAGTCAGGAAAAACTGTTTTTTATATATAGAGATTATGGAAATGTTATTATTGAGAAGAGTAAAAAATATTTTATAATTATAAAAAATAAAACTGTGGCGTGAATCAAACCCACGCATAGATACAATTCTGATATAAATGTGTGTATGCATGTATGAAATATTTTATTCAGCTGAGTTGAATTTTGAATTTCATATGTGAATACAATTTATTAGGATTTACTTCAACTAGGTGCCCTTTTAGATATCCTACCCCTCGACATTATCGGGTAGGAAATGGCCACTAATACTGCACTGAGAGTTAGAGAATCCCTAACATGGAAAGACTCTGCAAATGGGCACGAAAAAATACTCCATCATCCGGGGGTTCCGACCCATACGAACTATCACACGCCGTTGGTTACCTTTGCCTGGAAGTACACGGTCAGTATACCTACTTGTCTGGGGTGGGAGCACCTTCTCCACTTAAGAAACTGTGCCATCAATGTATTCACTGACGGCTCAAAACTTGCAGGGTGCGTCGGAGGAGGAATCTTCTCCCCCGATCTGGGTCTGAGACTCTTCTTCCCCCTGCCAATGTCTATCAAGCGAAAGTCGCTATCCATGTCGCCACGCAGAACCTACTAGCATCACTAGACCAATATGACAGTAGACCAATTTACATTTACTTAGTTACTTACATTAGAGTCAAATTTGGACATCTCCAGCGTTATCACAGACTGGCTCAGCATATGTGTACAAACCTCATATGGGTACCAGGGCACCAGAAAATAGAGGGGAAGTGCATTGCAGATTAACTGGCTAGGGAGGGCACTACGCAACTATGAATCCACCCTGACAAGGAAGGTATTGGCATGCCGCTAGCTTACTTCCGCCTAGTCATACGCAGCCTTGCAAGGACGTTGACCCAAAGGCGATGGGACAACACCAACCAGTGTGCCAAGGCAAAGCTGGCATGGCCAGCTCTGGAAGTCTCCACGATACTGGGGGTACTTACAGGACATTGTCCGATTAGCCGACACGCCGCCAGATTTGGCATCCCATATAATGACTACTGCAGAAGGGCGACCATTTCTCAGCAATCTAGCAGAAGTACAGAGTATTAAGATTGCGAGGCTATCCAAATTCCTTAAAAGTTCTGGGTGGTTTGGGGCGGACCATCGCAATCAATAGAGATTTTATGGCATCACAACGGGAGTCCTTTGGTCTAAGTGAGAAGGTGTGATCGTCACCCCAGCCATTGCAACCTAACCAAACCTAACTTCAACTATGAAAACTAATATGCAGTTGAAGGTTAAGACTACCATCGAATTTAATAAAATTCCCAAAATGTACCAATCTTAAATTAATATACAATGAAAACTAAAATCCATTGAAATATTAGTACATACATATGTACATATATGCGATGCGAACTAGAACCAATCATGACATAAAATGGCATACGGTACCCAACTTGTTAAAATATTTATGCCATCTCTTTAGTATACGTATACATAATTATTTATGAACTGTTGTATGGGCGTGTGGTATGGCCGCCCGTGTCTTTTGTAGCTGTCATGCATAATTAGCTCCTGCTGTCATGCTGGCGTATCATTCTGTTGTTGTGGGCTGCCATGTGTTCATAATAAAGTGCCGGACGGAAAATTCAAAGCCTACTTTTAGGCATAATTTTATGCAAATGCCCATTGCATGACATTTAAAATTTGCTCGCAGGGCCTTACAATATTAATACAGCGTAAAGTTTAGCATAACAATAAGAGTCAAGTGGCAAAAACAACAGCAACAACAACATGAACAACAAGTAGCACGGGCTATACGCACGAAGTTGAAAGCCAAACAGTTGCGGTCACACTTGCTTGACAAGCTTATTTATTGTAATTTGAAAAAGTTTAGATTACATGCAGGCTTCTAGTTATGTGTGTACTGCATAAGTCTGGTCTTTGCAATTGTCATAAAATGACCGACGAAACAAATTAGAGGCCAAGCAGCTGTTGCCACCATGAACTTTGTTGGTTTGTTGGCTAGTTGCCGACTGGTCCAATTTTTGCTGTTGCTGTTGTTGCCGCTGCCACTACCATTGTTGGTATAAAGATTTATGACAGTAACTGTAAAAAACTTTGATAGCCACACATGCATTTGCAGATAATCGAATTTTAATATTCGTTTGCGTGCTTAAAGCATATACAAATATTTTGACTAGACCTAATACTAAGTTCAAACGAACAAGTTAACTTAACAAATTTGTCTAGTTTTTAAGATAATGTTCCAACTAACTAAAGAAAGGATCGAAAGCAATATCATTTGTCCTTAAACATGGATCAGCTGGCAAGAACTTATTAATATAAACTTCGTATAACAAAAAAGAAATTAACAGCTGAAAGCTACTTCCGAACTGGCGGTACTGTTTAATGGAGTTGTCTGGAAAAGAAACATAGGGGAAAAATGTAATAATTATAGTAAGAATATTATAAATGAGATGTAGGGATAAACAGTAGGTAGCAGTGAACTCAATGTGGCTTAAAGGTTGTGATTAGCGAATAGTAGCCATATATAGTAGATAACACTTATAGCTTGGCTCCAAATCTGGCTATATTTTAATTTTTAGCCCCAATGTAGCCAAGTAAGACAGATATGCCAATTAATATTGTTAGTGGTGTTACGGTGAAATGTGAAAAAATAATATTGGCACTTTTTTCTTACACAATTTGAAGCTCTGGCTCGGCCCAAACTGGAGCGGGCTGCGCAGGTACCGGTGGCTGTGGCGCAGCACCACCCGCACCACCGCCTCCGCCAGCACCGTTGCGTGCACCCTTGCCACCTTTTCCGCCCTTTCCGCCCTTACTGCCGTCTGGGCCGTCGGGGCCATCTGGACCATCGGCGCCATCTTCTCCATCTGGTTGAGGTCCAGCTGGACTTGGAGCACCAGGCTGACCATTTTGTCCGCTCTCCCCGGAACCAGCTGTGCCTCCAGCACCACCGCCACCACCAGCGCCACCTCCTCCAGCGCTTCCCCCGCCGCCGCTACCACTACTACCACCGCTACCGCCAAGAACACCTCCAGCGCCTCCTGCGCCACCGCTACCACCTGCACCACCAGCCTCGCCAGCCTCACTTCCTGCTTCGCCTTCGGAGCCTGTCGATGAAGTGTCACTTGAACTACTATCACTTCCAGCGCTTGACTCGCTTCCGTCAGGGATATATTCGCCTTCTAGTCCCGGCTGTGGCTTCCATAAACCGTCGTCTACACCTAACGGTGGCTTATACGTGCCATCATCTTCTGGTGGTGCTGCGACCAGAAGCACCACAGGTGCCAGCGCTTGCTGTGGCAACAAATAGGTGCCAGCCACTGGCAGGATATGTGATGCCGCATCTTTCAGATAAATAACACCCAGCACTAACAGCAGCAACTACAGGGTATAAGCAATAACGCTATTATCTTTTAGTTCTGAGAATTTCCTAATTGTTTTCCTACCGCCGTCGCACGCATCTTTAAGGTTTTTCAATTCCTTTCTTTTATCGCGCTGTGCAGCACGTGCTCGAGTTTGGTCGTGATTCGACTGACTTGGGCGGCTTTGCCCTAACGCTTATATACGCTGCTCATGCATCGATCGCTGATCAATTGTCTATACATGGCAGCCGGTGGTTTCAGTGGAGCTGTTTCAACTTTGCGTGGCGCTCGCATAAATCAAGTGCGACCAACGCTCATTATAGCAAGTACACACAACTGCAGCCATATTCACGACAACAATTACAATTATGAGCTGTATCTGTATTATAAAACTGCCATATCAAAGACGCAATTACATGTAAACTTGACTTTGACTTATGCCGCACGAAACAACGATGCGTTGTGAGGATGAGGGTAAGACTTTTCCAACTTTACTGCACTCTGCTCTTCATGGCAATATTTTTGTGAGATATATCAATTGCTAGGGGATGACAAAAAGAGAGAGATTATAAGTAAGGGTAGTAATAATATAAATCTTTGCGTATTCGAACAATTAATTTAATGCGAATTGAAATTATTCCAAATCGAAAACAGTCCAAGACTAATTTTGTAATAATGTAAGAATTTTGAAATTCCATTCCCCATAACAGAACACACAATAGGGTATTACGACTTTGCTTTGATCCCATACGTACAGTGCAAAACGGTTCTAGATTGTTTTAAGTTCTTGCCGTTGATTTGTTAATAAATAATTGAAATGCCTTTTTAATGCATTGTTGACTTTCAGTGCGTCGTCTGAGGTTCGCCACGAGCCGGAGTTGCATTCATTCTCAGACTCGTTGGACTCGATAGCTGCACTGTTTTACTACGGATTAGATAAAATGCCATTCATGGCAATGCGGTTAGTGGACGCGTTGTGGGGAGGTTTCGGTTTCGGCCTGGCGGACTAGCGCATAGATGTTGTTGTTTTCGTTGTTGGCTTTTGTTGACTCAATAGCGAGCCACAATTGCATGCGAATGACAGGCATAGGGACGCGGGCGGCTCTAAGCCGCTCCAACGCGCCCACAAGTGCAAAGTGGCGTCTGGCTGGATAACAGGTTTGTTTTTTTTTATCTGCTATGTGTCAAATGTGTAGCACAGTGGTGGCCAACACGAAGTGCAAGATAAATAACTGCACGTCATGTTCGTTAATTGGTGCTGCTTCTCTGGTTTTTGTTTGATTCTTCCATTTTTGTTGCTATTGCTTGCAATACAATAAAACCAACAACAACATAACAACAATTGCATATGCGACAACCAGGAAGTTCCTTGGATTCCTTGGCAGCCCTTTGGCTGATAACAACGTAACATAAATTATGAGCAACTATTAAACTCTGCAGCTCCGACTAAATCAATTAAGCCAACAAGCGAAAAAGCAACTACAGGAGAACAAGCAACAACACTAACAACAATGATAGCGGGAACTAAACAAAGTAATGGCAACGAGTCAATTTTCATTATCATCAACATTATCGTTACCATTTAGCTACAAAACCAGCAGCATTATTCACAGCTTCAAGCAGTTACACGTGAAGAAAATCCACCATTTATAGTAGCAGCATGAGTATTATTTTACTAAAAACTTTTTATTAATTTGTCAAAAGTATAAAAATTTTGTGAAAATTCTGGTATAACTGCATTAAGAAATACTTGTATTTAAAAGGGCATATTCTAATAGTCCGAGCAGACTTAACGTAAAAATCTGAGGTAAGTTTTGATTGAAGTAAAAAGTAATTTTAAAGTAAAGCTACGGATGGACTTGCACATAATTCCACACAATTTTGTGTTATTTTACCAGTAAATACTGTAAAGTAAATAAGTTGGGAAATGACTCCATATATCATTTAGGATTATATTTTATAAAACATTTAACATTTATACAAATTTCTGTGCAGCAAATATAATATAATAAAAATAAAATACCAGAGTTAAAGTATTCTTTTCAGCTTTCAATTCAACATTTTTATATGGTCCTATTCGATGTTATCTTCATTTAATAAAATTATCCTCCTCTCTAAAAAATAAATTGATCGTTAAATCTTATCTCCATACATATAGATGCGTAAAGAATGCATGTAATACTATTTTCATTTCATTGATACTAATTTTTCTCTTAGTGTACGAGGTGTGAAGCTAGGAAGCAGCTAGTCTGACGTTGGTTCCTGTTGTGGCTGTGTGTCAGTGTGCCTGTGTGTGTTTGCACAACCGAACTTATAAACTGCGCACAGCGTGTGTGCTGCACCCTAGGATAGTTGAAGGAACTTGAGGCCAATTAAGCGGGCGCCGTTCGCCGGACAGCAAAGACGTGAAATTATGTCAAGTTGGCGCTTTTGTTGCTGGCTTGCTTGATAACAGATTCATTTAGATGGCAGACATTCGCTGCCTGTGTAAATATTTTTGTACGCCACTGTACTATTCTTTGGTTGGCTTGGCCCTCCGAAGGTGGAGAACGATGCGTTGGCGATTAATCAAAACGAATGCCCAAATTGACGTGCCGCAGACAATGTGATTAAATTTGTTGGCCATAAATGGCTGACAGACAAACAGACAGCATGCGAAACCCGCACACACTCGCACAACCTCATTTGTAGGTATTACCCTGCAGGGCAGTTACAAATGCCAGTACATTTCGGTGTTGGCGTTGTAAGGGGCCGTCGCACATAAAGATTTTCGCCACTATTTTGATGTTACTTCATTTGTAAGCCCGACAGACAACTCAACTATCCGTACAGTAGCCTCGAAGTGACAAGTGTATGGTCGCACGAGCCAACACCTGCAGAGCAAGCGGGTTTTTACATTGAACAAATAGTAGTATGCCCTGGTAAGCAAATAAGTTTCAATCGTGCGGCACTGTTTCTTTAAGAGAGTCAGAGAGCCATTTGATTTTCTGCAGCATATTTATCCCATAACATTGGATGCAACGATTTTTTTGGGATGAGCTGATTGTAAATATTACTGGCATTATTTTTATTTAAGAATGTGATGTGAGCTTACTTTTACTGCATCAAGTGAGCGATAAAATGTGAAAAAACTGCTGCTCCGACTGCTTATCCACCCCTTTTAAGCATAGAGGGCAAACTTTTAGCGAAAACACGAATCAAAGAATCTTGGTGCAGAGGTTGATTAAACTAAGGGGTCCTAGTCTGGGGACACGATTGCTGCCTTTGCTGATAAATATGTTACCACGTTTAGGCCTTTACTTTCCTGCAAAGCGAAGAATGTGGTTAGTTATTTGGGTTACTATCTTTTCTCTAAGTGCAGATTTCACTCTTTCTGCATCTCATTGTACGGCGAGCTTTTGCGAATAATATATACGAGTATATGAAGTCGTATGCGTGTTTGCTGCCGTGTTGCATGTCAGATTGAGTATGCGGCCATGTGTTTGTATTTTTAAGTAAAGAGTACGCATAAAGAGTTACAGTATTGGGAGCAATCTGAAAATATGTCAAAAAATTAAGAAAATATATCCATTTTAAAATTGACCCCTACTTAGAATTGTATCACTTACTTTTAATAAACAGAGGAGTAGATTAAATTTGTCTGCTCTCTAAGTAATGTTTTGAATCTTAACAAGACCATGATGGGTGCCAGCGCCTTTGTTGTTGTTTGCGGCTGGAACACAGCAAGCTTAAGTGTAGACAATATGTACATGAAATGTGTATTAAATAAATGAAAAAAGAAAAAGCCAATTTTGTTTTAGAAGAGGTCGGCTGTGGTCTACATAATATAATGGGAAAAATCAGCTTTTTATGCTTTTATGCTTTTATCTATATGTTAACTTCCCGAAAAGTGCATGTGGTGCATGTTTGATGGCCAAAGCAATATTTCCCCCACTTCAATTTATTTCAAATCTGAGCTAAGAGAAAAGCTTTTTTTGCCACAACTGGCTGAAATAACATATATGTATATATATAGCCTATCAATAATATATCGCAGGAGTTGTCAAAAAATAATATCGGCGGCAAAATGTGAATTTATGGCAGAAACCGCACTTAACCTCCTGACAAAAGATTCATGGAATACGTATGAAAAGAAATTGCTGTAAATATGTAAATTTTCCTAAACTTGTTGGGCAATACTCCAACTCATTAAATTCTTTCCTAAATAAAATGTTTGAAATTAAGGTTATTTGTTATTGAAAAATATGTAAAGCGGTGAATAAACGCCGTTAAGATAATACGTACATTCAGAGTTTTTAAAGCGAGACTTATTTAAGTGCCTTACAAAAATTGTATATAGAAATTTCAATTTATACTTTACAAGCTGATAATACTTAATGACCTAGTCAAGGAAACTTATTGTGAAGAGAGTGCACATCCAGATATTGTCATTTTTGTAAAGTTTAAGAACATTTAACTCTTGAGTCATCGAGGACTTAAATGTTGATTAGTCATTCCTTGGCTTTATGTACATTTATATACATATTTCATATTTACATACAGAAGCACATCTGCAAATTTGAAGTCATTTCAGCAAAATATCCTCAAGCAAGCGAGAGAGCGAAGTGCCAAGTATTCCCAGAACAACAAATACATATATTACTTTTTCCCTTATTTGTTTTACTCCAACTCATGGTGTGATGATTTATGATGCCCAGCATAGCAACTGAAGCGTTTAAATATGTCGCCAACGTAGCCTCTGAACCCACTGACACGGTCATGTCACGTGAGACGCATAAAGCTAAATATTTCTTTGGTTGAAACTGAAAAGGTGAAAGGACATTTTGAACAACTGGTGAATACCTTTTTTTGTGGAAATGCCAGAGTGGTTGCACCGCTGCCAAGGCACGTACATAGAGTCATCAATAACAACGCGTAATAATAAACAAAAGAAACACATGTCTGTACAGACAAACCTACATATTCACACATGTACATACATATGTGCATCGCATTAAGTTCAACATGAATCAGAGAGCTACGGGTCCATGTGTAGGCCACTTGGTTGAACAGGTTGAGATACCATGCCATTTGCTGCAATGCGAAATAAAATTGCGTTCCAGTTGTTGAGGGCGTTAACGTGCTTGACTTCTGTTACGATTTTTACTGTTGTCATTGTTTTTGCTGCTGCTGTGGCTGTTGCTATTGGGTTTGGGGCGGCGACTAGACTAAGAGTG